TTATAATAAGAATAATCAAAATATATAAGAAATATTTATAATTATAACATCAATTTGGCAATTAGTATAACAAAAAATTGAAACTTTTATTAACGAAGATAAATAAATAATAATTTTTCTGAATATATATATAAAACACACTATTTTGAAATAATATATGCCATAAAACTATATGTACGCGTTAATTGTAGAAATGAATCAATGTGTTTTTTTTTATAGTTTAAGCGGTTTTGAAAATAAAATGCTTTACAAAGCATAATCTGTGATTTTAAAAGATTTTTTAATAGATTACATATTTATTAATATGTACAAATATTTTTTAATATCTAATTTTATGTATAAATTGTATGTATGATAAATATTATGCTCTTTACAGTCTGTATATATTATACTTATAGTGTATGCAATCATATGTGATGATTTTGCAATAAGTATGTAAAAGATAATATATAAGCAAATTTTATATTTACACACAATATCTACTTTTATTTATTTTTCCGATATGAATAAACATAGATTAAATAAACATGCTACAGTTTTCATTTCTTGATTTATTTTATTTCCACATACCTTTACTATAAAAAATTATTTCCTTTAATATACATATATGTTTGATCTAAAGTAGTTAAATTAGTAAAAAAAATTCCTCCATCGACTTTTAAATAATTTTTCTCTGAATGAGAAAAATGTACTAAAATCTCTAGTGGCAACTTTACTTCATTTTTGCTGCAATTTTTTATTCAATCTTTTTGAGAGAGACAAATTTTTTGCACTAATATACAGAGTGCATGCAAAGTTTGATATCAAACATACAGTGTACAATGTATTTTTGAAATTAAATTAGTAAAAAAAGTTCATATAAATTTATATTCGAAAATGTTTTATTAAAAAAAAATTCGAACATTTATATCTATTTATTATTATATTTACTGATAATATATATATCAGTTTTTAAATAGTTACAATAAATGTTTCAAATTCTTCCTTCTGAAAAAATTCAAGCTTACATTTGTCGAAATAATAACACTGTCAAAATCTTTCCAATATTTTTACTTTGTTAAAAATAATAGTAAATGCACTCTGCTCATAAATCTTTGAATGTTTATAACTTTTTAATAGAACTTTTTCATAAATTTATATTTTTTTGCCTACTTATCTTATATTAACTTTAGCTGGCACACTTCTTTAGAATCGCATAGCTGGCACAGTGAAGCGTTTGGTACCCTAAATATAAAATCGTTTACCGCGAGTAGGCTATTTGATATTTTGACTTGACAAAATTTCAGGATATTCTTGAAATGTTACTTTAACAAGTGCCAAAGGTTATTTTAGTGAAATTTAATTTTAACAGACGGCACTATAAGTCCCATTTTCTAACAATAAGGGGCCTTAATTTAAAGTTGAAATACGCTGAGGCGTCTAGTATCCCACGGTGCCAGTCAAAGATTAATATGGTCCCAATCTTTACAATCACCTTGTATATCTACATACACATAAAAAGACAAATAGAGAAAACTTAAAGATTTCATTCTTGTGAACACAAATTAAACAATATTGGAGATACTGCTCAATGGCTAAATTTCTTTCATATATGGTATATGTAAGCGTGACATGAAATCTTAAAAATTATTTTATCGCTATAAATGAATATTTCTTCTTCTTACTTTGCCTCTACGTATAAAATGACTAATGTTATCGCAAAGAACATAACATCCAGATGTGCAATATTGTATTTTTAAGAAGATAAAAAGGAAAAAAAGGGATACAGGCGATAATGTTGCATTATAATTTCGCAAATTTACATCATGTGATAAATGACGATATCTATCATTATACAACATACGCGTATATTTCAAATTATATTGCATAACCGATTTTGAAATAAAAATAGAGTAAATACTTCTGCATGAGCGTTCTACGTATAAAGAGATCCATAAAACAAATATCCGACTGGCATAGCATTCGCTTTTTACGTACAATCGATTCAGCGATATTAGAAATAATTCATACGAAGCTGGTGCTGACAGTGCTGCATCAGCGTGCCGACAAGTAACACATGAATATGATCGCGAGTGCGTAAATGATTTTACTTGTCGTCCGGTGCATGTTTGAGACCATCTTGAGTTTAAATTATTAAATACGTTATAGTAAATTATTAGACTAAACGCCTTTCGTGTTTTTTGAATAAATTGTGCGCCGTAAGTTTAAAATTAAACTTAAAAGGTTTCTTCCGTTAAGATAACATTTTCATATAAATAAAAAAATATAAATTTTTTATTATTAAATATATATTTTTTATTATAGTAAAAAAAATCGTGTATTTATGTTGGAAACGATCCACTCCTATTTTTGTTGACACTTGTGTTAAATTTTTTAACGAATTTAAGTGTTAATTTAACACAATGTGATTATGTTATTTAAAGATTTTGTGTAAATTGATATTTAACATTTTTTTAGTGTCAAAATGACACAATTTACAAATAAATGAACAAATAATGTAAATAAAAAGAAAGTGTTTTAAAATGTAAATTCTAAGATGAATGAATAAAATGTGAGTTAATTTTTAACATATCATAAATGTTAAATTTACTGAAAAAATATACTTTCACGATTTATTTATAAACTGTGTCGTTATTATCTATTTTTGTATTTATTTTTTTACATAATGTTTATGTAATTTTCTAACATATTCATCTTATGTTAAATTAATCAAAAAATTTAACCGTTTGAGACATGCAATCTGTGTCAAATTTGATACATTTTCAATAAAAAAATTGAAAAAATATAAAAAATTGGACTCTTTATAATTAAATATAACAATAATAATAATTTAGGCGACTGTTTAGGAGTCAGCGCACAATTCAAATCTAAAATATACTTTACTATAATTTAGAAGTATTTGAACGTTTTTGCCATTGGTTTTGGCCATTTTCAGCAAAAGTGTACAATATAAAATCCTAGTTACGTTGGTTATTGTTCGTCAGTTATGTAATCCATACGGCAAGCACAATCATTCGCCTTCGAAGTTAATAAGCTTCCTAGTGATATGATTCTGTTTTTTCTATATAAAATTAAATGTGTGTTATAATAATTACATTAGATAAAAATTAAGCAAGAAATTGTGCTTACCCAAAAATCCGTGGATTACAATGAATAGGTTAAATTTATTTCGCATTTCGGTGTAACATATAATTAATTTTCATAAAATCGTTAAACACACATATATACATCTTCAGAAATAACGTCTTCTCTCTACCACATTCAAATTGACAATATACAAAACACTGTTACAGTACAAAAAGACATGCATATAGAAAAAACAAGTAAAACGGTACATTTACAATTTATTTAGTACGTCCGTGTAAATTCGGTCTAAACCATCGCAATCGTTTTGTAAATTAAGACCGTTGGTTTGTCGTTTAATATGAATCATTTCTGAGACTAAAAGCGTTTGTTGTAATATAGCTCTCCACATCCAGAATATTCACATTGTCCCAAGCAAACTCATGATCATGATGCATTCTATGTTATGTTATAGTGGAAATGGAAGACGAGGGTCTACATATATTCTTTTAATCTTGTTTTTAATTTTCTTCCCGTCTGACCGACATATAAAGCGTCACAATCCTTACAATTAATTTTATATACAACATTTCTTTTTTGATTATTATTTAAAGGATCTTTATGTACTCTAATATATTTATTTAATTTGTTTAAGCTAAAATAAGAAATGCTAAAACTGTTAATAATGTTTTTCAATTTTTCTGAAAAATTTTTTATATACGGAATCGTGAACTACTTCTTTTTTGTTTTTGGAATGTCATCAAGTTTTTCTTTATTCTTTATGGAATTTGTTTTTTTGATTAGGAACTTTATTCTCTCTGTCATCGTTTTTATTATAAAATCCGAAGGATAGTCATTATCAATTAAAATTTTTGTAATAAACTTCAAATTTTTTTCGTAACATTTTTTTAACAATGTGTATAATATATGTATAATAATAATAATGAAATATATGTATATTTACATATAAAATATATTTATTATTATACATATATTATAATAATAATAACAAAAAAATATATAATACGTGTGTGTGTTCTATGTGAAATATATATATTTATATATTATTCATGTGAGAAAATTCATGTAGAATCTGAGGACATAAATGCCTCAGAAAAATCCTTTGAATAAGAATTTTAACAATTCAAACAATTCAAACGGGATTATCTTGTAAAATAGAAGAATGCGGAAAAAGTCTATGTATGGCCACTCAATACAGAGAAAATATGGTCTTGTATTCTTGGAAAGATTGAACTTTAGTTGTATGACGTCGCAGTCACTCATCGATC